TTTTAAAAAACTTTGACACTCTGTATCTAGAAAACGAAGCAAGTTAGGACATGATTAAATTAAATTTTTTCCTTATTTTTGGGTGGTAAATACGTCCATAAAATCTGCACTCAATTTTGAATTGAATTGAATTTAAATTAGGCGAGCAACAAAGCTGTCAAGTTTTCCGCTCGGCGAGCCACAAACCTGTCACTTAATTACAGTTTGCGGAAAACGTCAACTTTGCGGTTGTATTTTGAAACGCAAAAGCCTACTTTGGATAGTGATCGTAGAAAAATATTCTTTTTATTTGTTGGTTTTTTAGACATTTGTGAATATACAATATTGTGATATTAGGAGTAGGCATAATTAGGTAATTTTACAATAAATCTAAGACTGCAATTATATAGATGACCCTTTTTTTGGATAATGGTTATGGCAAGATCATTTTTTATAGAAATCCTTTTATTCTGTTTTTATTTTATCATGTGCGAACATTGCAGGTATATTATAAACCGTAACAGATATGATTAAATGATAAAAGTTTTCTATTTACAGTCATGAAAAAAAAACATTTTCCAGTTGTTAAAAAATATCATAAAATAGAAATGGATATATTTGCTATAATATACCTACTATTAAATCGTTGATTTGACATTTCGTTTCGATATTTACGGTTTAGAATATTCTATGTAGCAGTGTTAGCACATGATAACAGAAATAGTATATATTTTTTTTATTTGAATTGTCTCATGGACACCTGGTAGTCTCTTCATGAATTTCTGGGTGATTGGTAATAAACTATTCAAAACATAAAATAAAGTATAATTTATTTTCTGTTTATAAAATACTCAGGAACATAATTACCTAAATTTGAAAACGATTTGTCATAACTTAGAGATAATCAAATAGTAGGTCAACAATGTTAAAACGTTGTAATTAATAATGTCAGTATTAAAATAAAATATTGTAAAAAAATAGAATGTTATTTTTATTTTTCCTCTAACAATCCTTACCCAGACAGCACAAAAATATTGCATGAATTTTCAATGTCAATTGCATATTCCTATATTATTCGATCATATTATCATCCTTAAACTAATTATAAATACAAATATCACACATTAAACGCGTATGCGTCAACGCGATCCTAAAATGACATGATAGGTTACTCACCAACTCGAACTGAACGCCAACTGAACGAAGTTTATAAATCCAGCTCTAACACTTGATACTATTTTTTATTGTGTTGAAAATACCTATTAACGTAATTTTTTTTTATTTATTTGTGGTATTTTAATTAAGTTTAATCAAAATAACTGTTCGTAAAGAAAAATGAAGTCGACAAATTGCTACTTTTATGAAAGAACAAAGATATACCTATCTATTTTCAACAATATTTGAAAAACTCATTGAAAAGGCTTTATCCGATTACTACCTCAGTTTATTTAATACTTATTACAGTTAATCAAACGTTTTTAAAGTAAATAGTTAAATAATGTAAATTTACTAATAATTTATTGTGGCTAAATACGTTTTTTGGTATTTAAATGTATTTCTGTACGCCTATCGAACGAACATCTGATAAACAAATTTTCGAGTTAAATTTGTAAAATGATGAATGAAAAAACCAATTTACAACTTTTACAATTATCGATTTTCTTATTGCGCGGTTAGATTTTACATCTCTTATGAGAACGTTTGCATTACTACTGTTAATTAAGAACATCGTAAACTTGGCTATAATGTTCAATCAGATGTTCGTGTTTCTGCCGAAGACGCTTAGCGTTGGCTTCAGAAATTTTGTAAACAATCCTATCTGTCTTGGTTATACATCTTTGCGGCCCTCCAAGCTTTAATTTGCGGCCCGATACACTAATATTAAGGTGTTTTTTAAAACATTGGTCCATTTTCAAAATCTTGAGCGAAACTCGCGAAAACATTTAACGGTTGCTGGGCTAAATATCGTGCTAGTTTTTAAATAAACGTTTGGATTGGTAGTGTAGCGGTCTAACGCGCTTATATTCATTTATAGGCAAGTTTATGAGTCTGAGACTGCTGGGCTTCGAATCCCAGACCAGACCATATGGATTTTTAATTAAATTGCATGGTTCGGTTTAGGATTTAATGTGTGCCGTATTAATAGAAATTCAATTTCTGTTGATATGACATGCAGTTTAAAAAATCGCCATGCATTACCGTCTCGATGATGGTGGGTGAGGTTTTCCGGGTTTTCCTCACCTGTAAGTCAAATTGCACCATCAATCATCTTTAAGTCGCCCCGGAGCGTCACGGCAAATAACAATAATAGCCGTCCCTTCCCCTACACAAGTCGTTCGTTCAGTCGACTTCAGGGGTTGAAATTCACTCGTAAGGGGGTGAATTAGGGAGAGTATTATTATTATTATTATAATGGGTTTACTGCAAAAATAAAATATCTCCACTTTCTGCATTTTCGAGTTAAGTACACTTTCTTCTCCTAAATAGTTCAAATAATATACCCCTTAAACAAGACAACTGTAAACGAAGTCTATATTCAGCCAAAATTAACGCCATATTAATACATTAATACATAATATGCACAACCAAGATATGTGGCATTTATACAACATTGTGTTTAATTGCTAATAGTATGTCTACCAAAACCAGATAAGATACATGTAACTTATTTTTGCTAAATGTGTTTAGTCTGATTCCTAATAGTGTTTCTGTCGAAACAAGATAAAGGCCAGAATACTTATTTTTGTGAAAATATTTGTTGAAATGCTTCAACATTTTGCCCAAGCCATTTGTTTTGCTTAGAGCTGTCTGTGGTCTCTTTCGATTGGTCCAAAATCGACAAGGTGATTACGTCACCCTTTCTTTTCACGATACAGCTAACCTTCAAAAATCAATGGATGATAACACGTGATGCCCGAATAGTCATGGCGAATGATTGATTGGTCAAGCTGTAACGAGCGATTGGTCAAGTCGTAACGAGTGGGGATGCTGACGCTTGTGTCCATATTGTTTGCACGTTAAAACGACCAGAAGCACTTGCTTGAAAAACCCAAGCCTTACCAGCAGACGGATGCCTAAAAGGGTGAAAAAAGGCTTTGAAAAGTGCCAAATAATGTAAGTAATGCAAAGAAAAAATATTTACTACACCTGATGAATTTAACCATTAATATCCAGAGTCTACCTGTATCCAATAATGTTAAAGACACTTCCTTAACCTTCCACAGAAGTTAGTGACAGAGACATTGAATATTTTGACTTGCACAGTAGGGTGGGCCGAAAATTAGAAAAAAAAATATTTTTCGAAACTTAAGTTGGGCTATTATGGAAAAGTTGTGACTGGTTGTGACTATGTTTTATATCAAACATGAAATTTTTTTAAAATATTCTAGCCGGGCCCCTTGGGGCTCAAAAAAAAATCCTAAAATCTACCAAGGCTAGTGCCTAAATGACTATTTACTGCCTTAGTAAGGTTTATATAAAATATGATTAAAATATTTTAATATTTCGTCCAGCCCCGCTCCTCCAATATCGAAACTTTAACGGACCGTCGCGCGGTTTGTCTCTAACTTCAGCCTCATAAAATAATTAAAGTCTATTCAAATTTAATTTACGCCTGATGTAAACAGAAGCACGTGGACGCTAAAATTGAGCAGGGCCGTATTTTACTTTTCCGTCTTGCAAAAATGTAAAATAAAAGAGTGTAATTGTGAAATTATTTTTTTATTACGATAAAAACATATTTTGTAAAGTAAAACTATAAAATAAATGCCATACACGGTCTCCCAGACTTTAGTAACATTTCTGGACGAAGATAGGTGAGCGACATAAACTGCGTTAACCTGCAATACAAATTAATAAATGTATTTGACTTTAAAAGAGATGTTTGCATTATATCCAAGTCTCATCAAGATAATATATTTTTTGATTTTCTTCTCTGTACCGTTTTATTTTTTGTGGCGTAGGACGAAACAATTTCATTTTGTCTAAAAGCAGACAAATAGGCAAGTAGACAAATATGGATCATCGTTGACTTCTTATAAAACCTTATCGATTGTTGGAAGTTAATTTCTAAAGAAGAATTGATGTACTTTGCGCCCAGAGCTGTTTAAAATCATTTTAAAAAAGATTTAAATCAAAGATCATAAATTGTTTGCGTTTGAACAACTGATTTAAATCAAAGATCGAATTATTAAAAAAAAAGATTTAAATCAAAAATCTTTTTTAGATTTAAATCCTTTTTACAATTTAAATCTTTTTAAAAGATTTAAATCTTTTTAAAAGATTTAAATCTTTTTAAAAGATTTAAATCTTTTTAAACGATTTAAATCTTTTTAAAAGATTTAAATCTTTTTAAAAGATTTAAATCTTTTTAAAAGATTTAAATCTTTTTAAACGATTTAAATCTTTTTATAAATTTAAATCACTTAAACGCATTTAAATTATAAAAAAATATTATATCGTTTTTTATATATATTTAGGAGTCAATAAAATATATTAAAACAGTGTTACATTTACACGACACAAATTTTTGGTTACAACAATAGTTTAAGACTAATAATGTAAAATTTTGCAGAGAATTATAGTTTACAGAGTTCTCGAAACATTGTTGTCAATTTGCAGAAATACATAAAACGAAACCTTCCGATTTTGCCATATATAGCCAACCAATAAGACCACTTTATGGTAATTTGTATATTAGGTATAATTAAAGAAAGAAAAAATAGGCCTTTGAACAGTTTTATTAAAGCATACAAAACAAAACACGTGTAACTAAAGAACTCATGAATAATCCAAAAAACAAAACTTTCGAGCATGAAGCATCCCTTAAATATTATTTGATTTTAACAGTACAAGATTTTCGAAGTTTTTGTCGGTCAATGCATGCCGACGTGGAGAATCTATAAAAGTGGCATATGAAAACATTCTTTCCACGGGGGCGGAAGATGGTAAAATACAATTATATTTTAGAAACATTTTTTTTAAGAGGGTATATTTGTTTAATATGGACAAATCATTGTAATTCATTCAAATTCGTGAGAAACTGACGGTGCTTCTTTTTCTGTATATATTTCTGATACAGTGCTTAATTCAAAAAAATCTTCATTTTCCTCTTCATCTATCACTTCACGTGTGGCATAGTTTTCAAAACTTACAAATTCTTTTGCTGCCTTTAACACCATATTTTTTACTTGATTCTCTTGAAGAATAAAATTCGTATTTTTAAACGAATTTAGCCATCTTAGCCTAAACTTTGGTAAAAGTGTTGTGGCTATTATAGCCATCTCTGATTGAGGATTATTCTCGAAATATATCGAAAACCGAGTTTCAATAGATTTAATGCATATGTCAATTAAAAATCCAAGATGTCTTAGGTTGAGGCATTTCATTTTTTCATATTTAACATGTAAACTCCCTATCGTTGGCATAAGTGTCCCAAAGTATGTATGACTTTCTCCTTGGAGAATATCTATGGATAAGGCCAAGGGTTTTAGGATGGCAATATATCCTTCCATTTTAAAAAGATTTGCATCATTTTACAGATTTAAATCATTTCAGAAAGATTTAAATCATTTCAGAAAGATTTAAATCATTAAAAAGATTTAAATCGTTTTAAAAAGATTTAAATCGTTTTAAAAAGATTTAAATCGTTTTAAAAAGATTTAAATCTAATTTTTAAATAAAAAATCAAAGATACTTTTCAGAAAGATTTAAATCGTAAATCAAAAATCATTTTTTTAAAAATCAAAGTATTTAAATCAAAAAATGTATTTAAATCAAAAAATGATTTAAATCTCACTGATAGGTGACAGCTCTGTTTGCGCCTTATTGCATTTTTATCAAAATCATCCACAGATCCCCTAATTTGTTTATAACGTAGCTTTCTTTTTGGTTCAGAAAATTTATGAATCTGCCTATACTTCTTCATAACAAAAACGGTTTTAGCGCACATCCCTGTTTTATCAGCAACTCTCCTTTCAACATCATGTACCAACATATCAGGGTTCTATAAAATTTAATGCTTATAAATATTAAGAACCATTTCTTTAGTACGGATGACCAAATGTCCCGTTTTCGGTCGCTTTTTAGAAGGAGTAAAAACATTTTTCTGGACTTCTGCTGTATCTGTGGAGGACATAGTGTCACGCAGCAGTTACAAAATATAGTCAATTAAATGTCCATAAAATAGAGTAAAAAATGTTCAAACTAACAACAACCACAAAAACAAAAAAAATAAATAACACAATATATGTATATCTAAACTATAATATAATGAATTATAATCAATCAAACATACAAAATGTCCAAACTAACCAACACGGTGAATGCTACCAAAACGCCGTTTAGAAGGGTACAGGAATAAAACCAGGAATGTCACTAAAATAACATTAAGAGATATTCCACTTTTTAATGTTAATTTCAATGTAACAACTTCCAAATAATTTTAAAGAATAATTATTTTTTAGACAACGTTAGGAAAAACATATAGTAACTAAATTAAATAATAACTGTAATACAATAAACTCAGCCTTTGCTAAAATAAATAAAAATGTCCGCTAATATCCAAGACTTTGGGTATACAACAAGGAATGTCCACACCCGCCGCTGCGCCGCGCACTTGTTACCTAATGGATTAAAGCATTTTTTATTATATTATGCAGTCATCTGTAGTCAAAATATGTTACCTATATATTTTTTATTCAAGTACCACTGTAACTGAAACGGTAACTTAATAAACGTGAATGATCTTTTTGGCATATAATTTCCCTTATAGACTGAATGGGAAAAGGACATTTTGATACAAATTTGGTTTTAAAAAACTTTGTCCAATCTCTGACCATAGACTGTTTCATTTCAATGGCAATAAAGGGATTCGGATTTTTCCTAAAGTTGCGAAGTAATTCATACCAATCATTCGGTACTTTCATCCTTGTGTTTAAGTTAACAAGTCCCATGTTTTTACCACACTCTAAGTATGAATATCCTCTGATGGGGAATGTGATTTTTATCGATTCTAGCCGTTTAACAGTATGAACCACATAATGCATGAATCTGAACATGGTAAAGTTTTTATTCTGACCACCCGCAGAATCAAAAAAAACATGTAAGTGCTTTACCTCGGCACCTAAGTAATTAACGATGAAATCAAAAAGAAAGGTGCACACTTCATCTGATCCTTTGTTAGCAAAATGTTCGGGGTAAGTGTAAAAGAGGGACATACCAGATGAAAGAACATGTATGTTAAATGAATATAAACTAAGCTGTCGCAAGTAATAGACATCATTAGTTGGCACATTTGGTAGATATACATTTTTCTGAAAATCTAGTGCAATTGCTACGAAATTATTAGTAGTTCTCCTTTTATTCTTTGCCTTTCTTTTTTCATCATAAAATCTTTGAGCCTTCTTCTTATGTACTTCGTTTTCCACTGTCAATCGTCTTATTTCATTTTCTAAGTTTCCTTCCTTTTTTAATCTATTTATTTCCGCTGTAAACCTATTACATGTGCTGCAAGTATCACTACGTGGAAATCCAAAACTTATATTAAATTTACTATTAAAAATCGTTCGGTACGTTTCATAAGAATCTTTTACATTGGGAAACAACTCTTGAAACATTATGTACAATTTCTTAATCTTAAGACTCTCCGGTAGGTATATCTTTTTGGTGTCTTTAATGCTATAATGTGACAACCTTCCTTTAAATGAGTTTATGTGATCTTTTATTTTAGCATAGGTATCGTCAGGTAACTTCTTGATAAATTTAGCATGTTTACCGCGTTTGTCATTTGGTGCTAAACCCATGTGTTTCAATGATTTTTGTAGATTTGTAGATTTCCTTCACAACAGTATCTCTTTTTACTTTTATCTTGTATGCATAAGTACTATCATGATATAGAGCTTCAGTTTCTGGTTTTCTAGATCTGCGCCTTTGCACAGGTATTACAGAGATCAAACCACACAGATAGTTGTTTTGTTCATTATGCCCACTCATTTGGTTAAAGTCAAATAAAATTGCACTACGTTCTAAATCATTAATGGTTTCAAAGCATTTTATTCTCTTGCAGTTGCATGAGCCCCCTTTTTCATGTGAAGACAATTTTAGCTTTTTCATGACATCCTGCATTCTGCGGTCCTTTGTCTTTTCTTTGGCTTCAAATCACTTATACCGCTTTTGGAGGTTATGCTTTTAAGGTAAACAAACAACCGCACCTACCCTAAAACACAGACAAGTGAAGACTAGTTTGGAATTTTTATTAAACTGTAACGTATTTTCACATCATTATGATGCTGCTGAGGCGGACATTTCCACTTTTATTCCGGTTTCGCTTGGACATTTCTGGTTTTATGCCTGTATAGCGATTCCTTATTTCGCTGTATTGTGGACATCTCTGCTTTTATGCCTGTTCGGTTGTTGCCAGGCTCAAGTACACAAAAACTACTAAACAATGTCGGTCTAACCCAATTTTCTTAAAAATATGGACATTCCTTGTTTTATTCCTGTACCCTTCTATCCAAATTGAACTGAATTCGACTCTGACAAAAATTATTTGCGCGTCGTCTAAATGACTAACGACCGATTAACCAATAGAAGCGCAAAGAAAATGTCACGTGAGCTGTTGCTGGATGGGAGAGATTGTTTTGACGCGGCGTAAATGAAATCTGAATAGACTTTAGTCGTGCATATTAGTGCATGACTATTTTGGTGCAATAGTTTTCTTTTTGCAAAAATATTATTGGTGGTGCGAACTTCATCGACCTCGAATTTTATATAAAGCAGAATTTTAATTTGGGACAATCGGTATGTTTTCTTTTCGATATCGTTAAGAATGAGCCACCGTTGGTGATTCATAAATATTATTAGGTAAAGG